AATAATAGATAATTTTGTTTTGTTAAAAATATTAAATTTTGGGTCTGAAAATAATAATTGATTTTTTGATCTAGTAAGTTGGAAAGTTTATTCAATGTTTTTTGGAATTTTCCTTAATACTAAGCCCAAAACCAAACTATATAATTTGTTTTAAAAATAAAAGAAAGTCCAAGACTATATCCCATAAATAACCACCGGTTTAATTTAAGTAATACGGTTCAATTAACTATATGCTTTGTATTATTTGTAACACTCTAGAAATGGTCCAAAGTTAAATGATAACTTGTATTAGTAGATAAAAAGAATGACTCTGTTTTAATAGAGTAGATGATTAAAACATACGTAAGACATTCAAACTATATACAATTGAAATAGTTATCATCTCTTCTTTTATATACCAAAAAAGAGAATAAAATACCATCTCATAAAGTCTTTTAGAAGCTTAAAGACCCCTCTGACATATATAAAGAAGTTCCATTCATATTTCAATATAAGAATGAGCTTTAGTGTAAGTAATACGTTTTATGTATTTAAACAAATTAAGTATACGTGTTTTAAAAAAAAAAAAGAAACGATCGTCCTGGTCAAATCCCGAACGTTGTAAGATCTGTTGAACTCCAGTGATCACCATTGATCATAAAGCCGGGAGCTTCTTCGCCTACCTCCAGATGCATCCAATACTCTGTTTGTTGAGGGACTTCCTTCTAATTGCTCAAGGAGGGAAGTGTCTCGTATCCTTTTCTTGTTTTGTGCTTCGTTTCAAAAGTTCTTACCATCAGTATATTTATCGTCTCTTTGAGATTGTTTGAGCTGTTCAGTGTCCTTTACTATGTGTCTTAGATATATTTAGACCCTTTTTGGGATATAAAGAAGTGAGACTTGTGACCAAATACTCAAAGCAAGTAAGTTCACCTAGTTCCAACTTGAAGCATTGGTGAAACCAAAGTTTTGACTTACTAATGGGATTTTTTATGCAGAGGAATGGAGATCCTATAGTTCTACGTTTTGTTGATTTTGAGAATCCTGCATGTGCAGCAACTGCTCGTACAGCTCTACAAGGTAACTAAGACTCTCTATGCTCTGGAAATTAGGATTGTAGGTCCAACACATATTCGTTTCATGTTGCATTGTTTCTTTTAACTGATGTTACTGTGCATTTTACAGGCTATAGAATGGATGAAAATGAACCTGATTCCAAGATTTTGCAAATCCAATTTTCAAGAAACCCAGGTCCAAGACCAGGACAACGTGGAGGAAGGAGGTGATGAGTCAGTGTCTTTAGGAGTACTCTCACTCAAAGCAATAGAGATGTATGGATAGACATAAGAGTCTAGGAGATGAGTTGATTGTGATCTAAAGTCTCTCTCACTCTTTTTTCCTACCGCCTTGATAGATTTAGTGCATGATCTTACTAGTGCTATTTATCAAGCCTAAAAACTTGTTATAATCCTTTACTTTGTATTGTGTGGGAATGATACGATATATGATTTTGATAGTATAAATCACGTTACCATCTTCTTTTTAACTACCAACGATCGTTTTTTTTTCTTTCCTTGCATGGCATGTTCGTTAGTACTTAAAGTTGATACAAAAATTATTTTGAGATTTTTTTGTTGTTGTTGTTGTATATTCATATTTTTTTTTAAAAAAACTCACAAAATTTTAGCTATTTAGATGGAAAGTTATCTGCTAATTTTTGAATAATGTAAACTGAACTAAATTATAAGTTTGGCACTTGCGTTTTGAGTTAACAGAAGAAAATATTTCTAAAACAGATAATGCTTTTAAATTTTAGATATTTTTTTTTGTCAACCTTTTTATATCTACTTTATTAAAATAGAGTCATTATTTTTGTCTACTGATACAAGTTGTCAATTAAATTTGGACTCTTTCTAGAGTGTCACAAATAATACAAGTCATATAGTTAATTAAACCGATGTTTATTTATGGGATATAGTATTGGGCTTACTTTTGTTTTTAGAACAAATTATATGATTTAATTTTTGGGCTTAATATTATGGAAAAACTCCAAAAAACTTTCAATAAATTTTCCACCTTAATGGATCAAAAAATCAGTTATTATTTTCAAGCCCAAAAAGTATTTAATATTTTTAAACAACAAAACAAAATTGTTTATTATTAATCATTTATTTAAATCATGTACTTTAAAAAATGTTAATGTATTTTTTTTATTTTAAATAACAATCACTTTGTTTTGATAAATTTCAATGGTAACTTTTAAATAATTTATTGTTTTATTTCTCTTAAATAATTTACTGATTTAAAAAAAAAATGTAAAGCAAAACCAAAAACCAAATCTAAAAAGTAAAATCCAAAACCAAAAACTGAAAAACAAGTTATATTTTTCTGCTTTTATTTATTTAGAAAATAAACTATTGCAAATTTTTTTAAAAAAATTTTTGTCATCTTTTCAGTTTTAAATTAGATGTTCGATTATTTGAGATTTGTTTCTTAGTAATATCAGTTCAAACCAACTCAGCGGATCTAAAAATTAAAAACACAAACCAAAAGCTGAAAATCAAAAATAGAAACTAAAAAACTAAAAACCAAAAACCAAAATCTAAAATAAAAAACTGAAACTAAAAACTAATGAATAACAATCATCATCACAAATTTTGGTGAACTGATTTTATTTCAAAACATTCTTTAAATTAATACAAAACCTAATTATATAAATTTTTAATCATAAAAAAATTCTGCGCTTTTTATATTAAAACCAAGCTATTACATAGTTTTGATTATTACATCTAGCTTTTTTGCAAGTTCATCTACTAGCCATAATTTATTCCTAGGCATATAAGAGAAGGTAAAATCATTGTCCTTAGCAGCTGCTGCAATGTCATGTATCACGGAGATGCACTCCGTGTTTAGATCAAGTCCAGAATCATCGAGGTTTTGAATAGCTGTTGAGAGGCTCATCGGTTTCCACTATTGGGTATTCAGCTGTATATATTTTCATCAGCTGAGAGAATAATACGTCAAGAATTTTGAGCGTCATTTTCTGTAGATTATGCAAAGTGACAAAGTTGGGTTTTATCCTTAGAATCAATAGTTTTTGTAAACTTAATTGCTTTGTAAATAACACAAGAATATTTTACTTAATCGGACTTAAACTGCGACCAAACAATAAATTAATAGCTATGTCATTCGAATACAAACGCATAAGTCAGTCGCCAACACCAGATATAAAAAAACAAAACATAGTGGCCTAATTGATGCTCATGACCCGGCGATGAGCGAGGTAGGTCTCTATTGCACTCATACGAACATAACCTTCTCTTTCGCATAACTTACCCTTGATAGCCAAAGATCCTGTAAGCTCATTGAACACACTTTTGATTATAGCTCTCCTTTCAACTGACCCATCAGTATGATCAACCGCCAATCCTTTAAAAGCTACATAGATGACTAAACTTCTGGCCTTGATAGGAGTCTCCTCTTGACTTTCTATGGCCACTTTCACAAACTCCACACTGGAGAATTTCTCCTGCAAAAGAAGAAAAAGATGATAATTCTAAAACAAAACATCATTCTAAAGAATTTACCTCTGAAATACTCCTATCTGTAAGACAAAGAACAAGCCATAGGTACAAAGGAATCCAATGGGTGCTCAGCAACTCTGATTGATCCACCTACAAACATATCTCACACTTAAATAATCATGAGCAAAACATAAACTGATGATAAACCACCACCACTATTACCATGTAAAACTGTTGAATATCAACATCTGAAGGCCAATCAGGCAATCGTCCAGGCACTGCAACTGCGACCGGTACGGGTGAGCTAAGGGTCTCACCTATGGAAAATAATTTTATTATTTGGCAAAATGAGATTATGTATAATAATAATAATAAAAGAAGAATATTCAGAAGGGTTAATTAGGTACCTTTAATACGAGCAACCGAACAGACGAGATTCAGACAGCCATACTGCATTTCATCCACACGAACCTGAAAAGTTTCGATCGGAGTAGTACTGCTGGTTACTGGATCACGAGCAGTCAGAGTGATGAAGAAGGAAGATGCACCAGCGAACCGCATGTTGAATTTGACCAAAGAAAGTTGCTCGAAGTTTGTACCCTGAGAAAAATACAAAACTGAATGTTATATAGCCCTTTTATCTCTACAGAGATGGATCGAACTAATAAATTTATACCTGAAGCAAATTGTATCGATGAAGACCAATTTGCCCATAACATTTAACCTTATGTTCAAGAGGATAATTAGTGCGGTTGGGACCTTCACACTCATACGATACCAACTGTCCACTCGAAATCAAACCACTTGGTCCTATTATCCCTTCAATGTCGAAACCCTAAGAACAAAGTAAAAATAAAAAAGGCATGAACATAATTTTTTAGATTCGACTGAACAAGCTGAAGAAACTAAATACCTCGGATTCATCAACACGACGCCAGTACTCATCTAAAGCACGGTAATACTCTTCCTCGTTGAATTCGACCCGTGAAGACGCCATTATCGTTCGTCAAATTCTAATTCTAATTCTTGATCGAGGGAACTCATCGTATGTTCCTTTTATATGTGATCTAGTTATTTTTTTGCCTTTGTTGGGCCTTATGAACCCATAAGTTTAATTATATCAAGTTTTTTTTTTGGGCCCGACGGTTCGGGTCCGGACCATAAATATGATTCACATAAATATGTTTTATATACTTTTCAAGTTTTGATGATTCTTTTTTATAAAAATTAATTATAACTAAAACATTTGAAAAATATATTTTTCGAAACAATACTAAATTTTCTGTAAGAAAAATGGTTTTTGTAGTAATTGATACAAATACACAAAATTTAAAAGATTTGTAAACAAACATATATGTGTTCAAAAAATATATAAAGAATAGAATATATGAATGATTCGTATCAATATGAATGTTATATATCCATATCTTATATAGAATACAAATGTAATATGAAAAAAGTTATATATCAATATTAATATAAATTATAAATTGTCGAGAAAATACATGCGCGTCAGGCTAATTCTAATTAAAAGGACAAAATTATTTTAGTTCACATTATTAAATAAACAAAGTGTCCAAAAACTGATAGATACATACAAGAGATATATACATGTTTCTTAAATAAAAATTATAACATTAACGAAAACGTTAAACAATAGATCACTTCTGCATTCATTTTTACATCGATCTTAATCTGTTCAATCCAAATTGTTCCTGAAAATATGAAGTACCAAGCACGATAATCAATATATACATATAACCTAAATAGATTGAAAACGTGAAATAAGACTTAAGTTGTGAATAGGAAGATAAATCTATGCTGTAATTACCAGCACAATGGAAATCTCTTTGAGAATAGGTGTCAACAATGAGCTTAATGTATCAATGTCTTCTCTAAGGGTCTCATTGCTCTCGTCTCTTCCACCGATCGCGTCCATAAACGTTTTATTGTCAGGCACTAGCTTCATGCACACCTTCATTATTAAATATTTAACACGATTTCAAAAGGTATAAAACCAAGAAAATCTAACATATAAGAGCATCTCCAACTTATTGTTATTTTTGCCTATATAATAGTATTTAGAGTTAAAAATACTCCAATTCATATTTATTTCTTTCTCTAAAATAGATATTGTTATTCTCATTATATTTAATTTAGGGAAAGAAAAATTAATCTCTGTTTTTTTATTCTATATCTTGAAGAATGCTATTTTTATAGGAATATATTGGAGTAAACTACTTTTAAAAAAACACATAGGAAAAAACATTAGAGATGGTCCAAGTATGATATGGCTAACAGGAGAGTGATCATGCATATTGTATACTTTGAAAGCAGCAGACGCTATCCATCCATGATGCGGTTTTAAAGTCGTCAAGTAGCATTCTTCTACAAGTTCTTCCATTTTTGACGACACCTCTTTGGACAACAATCGTAATAAACCCGCCGTAAAATCCATTGTCCTATGTGGTAGAAAATAGTGAGATAAGAGTAATAAGTCTAGTTACTGAAGAGTAGATTAACTAATGATCTAACATATGGTGTAGAAAGTGAATAATAAATATTTTGATGATTTCAATTGGTTTAGTTTCTTCCACAAATATTTGATATGAGTACTTGGATACGAAAAATATATGTAAGTTGTTAATGAAACTACATACGAACATATACTATATTATTTGTTTTTAACGTTAGACATGAGTCCAAACTTGTAACTAGTAATAACTAATAAGAGAGAGGGTATGCATGACGGACAAATTAAGTATTGTATAGTGCAATGAGTTAGACTACAAGCCTGATGTTTGCTATGAGATTCTAGAGTTTGTTGATGACATTTTAAAATAATTAACTAAGTATAATACCTAGTGAGCCAAAGAAGAGCTCTGCTGCAACTAGCAGCCATCTTGTATGTTCCCTCGTTCCTTTCTTTTTTCAGAATCTCAACCAAATTGGAGTAAACACAAGGATCTGTTTCACAAACTTTCTCTAATCTCTACACCACCAAAATCAATATAAATAATAAGAACATATGTAAATGATAATTGAAGTGCAAAAAAGAAGGGAAATAATATCAGCCATTTCATAGAAAGTCATTTCAAAATTGACTAAAGTCCACTTGAAAGCAACCAAATAAGGAATTACAAGGCTGAAATTGAACTATTGAAGATATCTTTATGTGAAACGATTGTGTGTTCTTATCAGCATAAAAGTTCAACAGTCTTTTGGCATACATTATTAATATTTTAATAGACCCACTATTCATGCATACGTAATTACATACACACGATGTTGATGAGTTTCAATCAACAAATAAAAGAGAAACTAAAAATAATATAAAGGGTCTTACTCTTATCTTGTCTTTATAAGCATGAAGTTACATCATCTTTAGTTACCTGTATATTCTGATCGATGTCTTGTCTAAGAACAGCCATTGTCGGTCCTATCTTATCTGCAAACACCAAACACACAAACAGCTCAGGAAAATCATCTAATTATGCTAAATATGAACGTAAGATACAATCCAGATTGATTTGGAAACTTTATAAATGAAACAATTAACGAAGAATATTCTCCAATAGGTTACCTAGCACTTGGATGATTAAGTTGCAGAAGGAGAGAAGAGGCCTCAAGGGTATATGTGTGGTTTCAGTGCTATCTACAGGTTTAGTTATTATCAAGAGAGAGAGCTCTTCTATGGCGGTTTGAAGCTCTGTCTTCTTCTTCTTCTCCATCTCGTATCTCTTTCTCTTCATCTCTTATCCCTCTCTTTGCTATTTCTTCTTATTTTCGCCCTTTCTCCAGACATCTGGAGCAGATATATATATAAAGTGTAGTAGTACAAAACTGCAATATATATATATATATATATATATATATATATATATATATATATATATATATATATTGCCTCTGACTTCAAAATAAACAAGTTGGCTATATCTTTTGTATTATAAAGGCGGGACAACTTTAAAATAAAAGTTAAAGGCATCCAACTTTAAAATGTATAATATATAATATATATTAGCCTCTATTATAGTATAAGTGTTTTGGGTTAGAAGCGGAGACAAGTAAACTTCATCAGCAATGACCACCACGGTCCATATAAAACTCATTTGTATAATAAACGGGTATGGCATGAAAACAGTAATCAACTGATGATCGCTTTGATTCCTTAGAAGATGATGATTGTGACCCCCTTTTGACCTCTACCTTTTGGCTTACGGCTCTAATCGATCGGATTATCTGAACCCACAATTTTAATCGTATTAATGTTAAGAAAATATATTAAATGTATTCGTGCACCCACGTAAATGAATGTAATTGGCTCTTTTAAATTTTAACTAGCTTAAGCCGATTCAATAAGTTTGACTCCTCATGAATGATTGAATTCTTACATGATTTGTTACATTTCAACAAACAAATTGTGTAGCTATACAAAACTAAAACTTTTCTGGCCATTTCATCATTTTACAATTTTTTTTGTCCATCATCATTTTAAAAGTTTACCAGTGTACAAATAAGAAGACTTAGTTTGTTTAATTTATAACTTATATTCTCAACAAAAAAAAAAATCATACGTAGTGGACATTAATCAGAAATAGAATAAATTAGTAAAACCACGTTTGTTACCTCAAGATATTATGCAAATCATCACATTTGTCTATTTCACACAATAAATCTTCACATATATCACCATTTTGAAAATTTACCAATTAAGCAATCATCCTATACTAAAATTCAAAATAGAATAGTACTACTCTATACCAGAGCTTCGAAATAAAATAACAAAGGTAACCAACCATTAACGATTAAACTGACCGTTGACAAAACTAAGAAAGTGACTGGTGGACTTATTAGGTTCCGTTTAGATGTGCAGGTTGGTCACAAAGGCATGCCAGGGTGAAATAAAAGGAATCTTCTCTCAATTTCTTAATCATTTGGATTGTCAGCTCTTCGTTCACTAATCCAATCATGTCCACCACATATATTATAGGAAAGATAAAATTTTCTAATCTTAAAAGATATACTGTGTTTCTGAAGGTCCCTGCACCCCCAGATGAATCTTCTTTCGGATCCAACAAATACTGAATTTTTACTGATTCAAGAGATTTAGAACACTTCGAGAACTAACAGCAATAATTTATATACAAAAGTATAAGTTGCCTTCTAGATATCCAATTACAATATTTTGGGGGTACCATCTACACACACCAACGTCCATATAAGGGGTTGAGTTTTTATTTTTTGGCTAAAATTTGGACTAGAAGGTTGAGAGTAAGTGTTATAAAAAAAAAAAAAAAAGGAGGTTGAGAGTTAAACCGTCGATTGATTAAACTAAACACTTAAATGTGAATGTGATACTTTTTGACGATTTATGATCATTTTCTTATAGTCTAACGAATTAGACTATAACTTGAATTTATGATCCCGACTCCCGACCATGACCCTATTAAGGACGCGATAGGTTTCTATTAAGAGACAACAAAAATGAGAGAATATCCACTAGTTATACTTAGAAGAGTTATTAACACTCAGAGGCAGTTTCCATGCTTTTATTACATTATAAAGCAGTTTCAGCTACTAAGGTAGTTTTTTGGAACTATAAGCCAACTACGTTTATTATTGAAACTAAATGGGTCCCATAACTATTAATCTTATTTTTCTCTCTCTGTGTGACAGAGAAATCGATGAGAAACTCTGAAAAAAAATTGTTAATCTTATCTTTAATGATGATGAAATCTTTGCAATGATCGGAATTTCAACCGAGCCGAAGAAATGCACGGTGGAATCACAGCTTTTGGGAAACTTGTGTGTAAATGTTTGGCAGATAAGAGTTATGATGATTTTGGTTATAATCTGCCAAAACTCAGAAAAACTTGTTTTTTCTTGGTTTTGATGTTAATCAGTTAAACTATACTTGATTTGTAAGTGCTGGAAGTAGAAAAAAACACAAAATCTAATGAATACTGTATGATAAAATAAATGGCGGCTCTAAAATATATTTGCAGAAAACCCAGAAAACCCTAATACAAAGAAGATAAAAAATTACGAAATTGCCACTCATTAAAAACTCATAAATGTGGACATGATACGAATTTAATGTACATGTGTACATCATAGGTTTCTCAACAAACAAAATGATTATATAATTTCTATGTTTCTCCAACAAGATGAATGTATCTTTTGACCACTCTCATTTTTTTGGTGGCTGAATCCAAACAAAGTATCAATTCTCACAAATCCATTTACAAAAGAAGTTATGATATCTGATGATTCTATAAATAATCACATGTACACTAGTTCTTTTATATAAAATCACATCTACACTAGTTCACATGTACACAATCTCTTTTATAAAATCACATGTCCACATGTACAATGTTTTATAGAAAATCACATATACATTAATTCTTTTGTACACTGCACAAGTTATGATTCTTATAAAAATCACATGTACACTAGATATGAATATGTTTATTTTGAAGTGTACACGATATAACATACACTGTACAAAATGTTTTAAAATCTCAGATCTTATTTTTTTTTAAGTTTCTTTATCAGTACACTAATTCATAAAATAAAAATATAATCTCATTTTCTTTCTTTCACAGCTTCTCTTCACCGTGTTCTATGGAAGAAATACACTTTCAAAGTATAATGGAAAATACACTTTTGTTTTAGACAATTATGGAAGAAAATACAATGGCAGAAAAAAATTTAGGATTGGACGACCACGTGGACGTGTACATAAAGTTAGTGTACACATGTTTGTGTACACATTAGATGACCATGTAGATGTATACATAATGTTAATGTACACATGTACATATTTAAGGTCCTCGTTGTTGTATATGAAGTTTATTTTAGATCTTGTTATCATATGTACTATACTTCTGACTTTGTTTCGTACAATTATAGATGTACATATGTACAATATTATATATCTATGGTGTTCATATATACTTGAATTATGTCTCACTAATAATTCCAAACCCATAAACTCAAACATATCAAATTGAACAGCCTTAATACGTTTTAGTGTCAAAATACATCCTTTCGCGAATAGAACAACCTAAAAACAAAGTATTACATGGAACAACCTAAGAAGAGAGCATTATATGAGTCTAGAAGCCCTAATCTCCATTTATCTCGTCTATTTTCCAAAATGAAGAACAACAAGTTGATAAACAAAACACAAAATACAATTAAATTTGCACTATATAAGTTCAGAAGATGCACACGACAAAAAAATAAGATTAGCAAGCTTGATAATATATCTAACATATCAGATACTCAATTTACCAGCACCACCATCAACATCATCGCCATTAGCATTGTCATTTTCATCTTCACATTGTGTGTGTACGATAAGATATAATAGCGTAAATGTGTAATAATGAGGTGTACATGTGTACGTTAAATATGATAGTGTACACACAAAATTTTTATTTAATAAAATTACGAAAATAACCTTGTCTTCTTTCTTGGTCACTGTCGAACAGAAAACCTAATTTTCGCCTCCTTCCGCCTCTTTCACTTATTTTTCATCATTATTTACACTTTCACTTATTTTTATGTACTTTGTCCAGATCTAATAGATTTCAATCTTAATTCCTAGTTTTATATTCATAAATTTGAACAAAACTATTTTTTTTTGTTTCTGATTTGTTGAACATTTTGTTCCAAAACACCACGGCGGAATACCATAGTTGAGTGCCACATTCTTGATGATGCTGTCTGACTCATGCATATCACGTTGTCTAACGACGAGATCTTACGGCGAGCATTAAAAAATAATTGAAAAACAGAGTTCATAATGAAGATAAGAGAGATGATAGTGGGTCCTATTACTTTATCTATAGTTTTGTTTTAACTTGAAAAACTAAACGAAATAGGATATAGTTAGGAAAAAGTGTCTTGATAGCACAAACTGCTCTATTGTGTTATAAAAAACATAAAACTGCCTCTCAATGTAATATTTTCTACTTAGAACACCCCCCATCATAGAGTTCACACGTAGACCAAGAAGGTAATCATTTCAGTGAACCCCTCCCCATGGATTCATTGATATGGATGCTCTTATAACTTACAAGAAGGTAACCATTTTTATTGTATGTGTCATGGTCTTGATTTCAATTTTGCATACTTATACCAAGTCAATTTGAATTAAAATTTTGCATATTTCGCATTTTAATTGCAAGTTGAATGGTAGATATGTTATTGATAATCAGATTAAAGCATTTTTTACGTTATCTTCTTCATTCCTTTCTGTTGTATATGGTGGACTTAATTATCTTTTAGTAAAGTTTATCAATCGAAGATACCATTTAGCATTTTTCTCGAAGGGTCTTTAGGTTGGGCCTCATTTAGTGGGGTCGGCCTCATATATTTCAGCCAACTATCAATAGAAGATACCGACTGATTCTGAGCCTCTTGATTGATCATGAGGATATGACACACCAAGATAGATGGGAGTTCCACGAAAGAGAATTGGTCTCAAATATCAATTTATTCAATTTGTGAGAAGACAAGGCAAAGCAGAAGAATTCTAAAAGCATGGCCGCCAAAAAAAACATCGAAAGTGTAAGTTTGTATTCATTATTCAACCGAAATATACAGTAACCTACTCCACAGATCCTATCGTTTGGATCGTTCATGTATGATAATAATAAATTCATGAACAATATAAGAATGAGTTTTAGTGTAAATAGTACGTTTTATGTATTTAATAAAAATTAAGTATACGTGTTTAAAAAGAAAGTAACGATCGTCCTGGTCAAACCCCGAACGTTGTAAGATCTGTTGAACTCCAGTGATCACCATTGATCATGAATCTCTCCTGAGAAATTAACTGCTCTGGCTCCTCTGAGAACGAGCATTCCAAGATCTCCTGAATCTCTTTATCATCTAGTAAACCTTGAAACTCAAAAATCTCCTCTTGACCTTCTTGGAGAAAATGACCAAAACCTCGTTCATCTTCTTGAATCTTGTTGGTTAGATCGTTGAATTCTCCGTAGAACCCATCAGTTTCTTGGTAGATATCCCAACTCAATGATTCTAAAGCATTCGTGTTTGTTGTTACAGGTGAATTTTGATCAGATCCGGTGGTGTTATCAGTACTTGAAGGGCTCGGAGCATTCACGTACTGTGCGAAAACCGCAGCCAAATCAATGATAGAACCAGCAGGGCTTGACTGGGACTCATTGGTAAGACCATCTGGTCGATTTTCGTTCGGACCAAACCTTTTGTGACTGGTCTGTCGTCTGCTCCGGCTCCTCTTACGACACCCTCCACCGACGGGAATGTTGCGGAGAGAGCCTCCTTTGGTCCAGTAACGACGGCAGCCTTTGCAGAAGTATCTAGGTTGAGACAAGCTGTAGTTGTTGTAATAACAAAACTTAGTGTTGGAAGATGCACAACGGGGACAAGGAGGAGCAGTCTCCTCGTGTCCGTATGAAATTTTCCATTTCGCTGGGATTTCAATCTCCGGCGAGGGAAATTGTTGCTGGTAGCTGTTGTGTGCGTTGTACGGCAACATCATTTATGTACTGTATTAAGAATTTTTGTGTTAGAAGATTGGAGAAATCTAGCAAGTGTATTTTGGGGGTACATGTAACTATATAGTATATATATAGTATGCATGTGCATGTTGTATGAATGTAGAGGTGAAGAAGAGCATGTGTGTGTGTGGAGATAGAGGTGCATCGATAAATGTGAGAGTGGGGTTTGGAAGTTAACGTGGGCGGTTGCCGAGCCGTGCGTCTCCTTTTCCGTTTCTTCTCCGTCAAGTTACCTTCGATTTTGGTTTTTATTAGAGAGGAGATGTAAAACTTTATTAAACATAGTAAAACTGTACTAAATAATAAATCCTACAACTACAAACCATTCTCTTATAAAAGAAAAATATTAACGTAGGGCAACCATATTATATACGTTTGTACGTAGATGATTTTATGACTTACATTCTCCGCATCTGCATCTTGTCATCGTGAAACGCAAGACAACAATAAAAATCCGTATTATACAAATTATCGTAACATTTGACCACTTGCAATCTCTTCTACACCCTATCATTTCAACACTTCAAAACGTCGGTACATGCATTGTTTATTATTATCATTTGGATGGTAAAGAATACATATATGATAAATAGTATTATCATTCGTTTATCCATTTGCTAAGTAATAACCGATCCAAATCAAACTAATTATCACCTGAAATATACAAGTTTGTAGCTTAAACATAATTATTTTACAGATTATATGGAAATATATTTTGTTGACATATAAAATTTACTTAGCTAGCATCTTGTTTGGTATATTATTTTTTTCGTGTTGAGATGTAATGCGTATGATCATTGGATAAGGGGGAAACTTTCCTTATCATTTTTTTTTTCATGGCTGATATTAAAAAGTTTTTTCTTTAATTAGTAACCGTTAAGACTTAAGAGCATCGATTATATAAATCATTAGAGATAGTAAGATAGATTAACGCCAAGGTTAAGGGCCACACGCACGGGAGAACACATGCTTCCACCTGCGTGTCAAGCTATGCTCCTCTTATTTCTCTCAATTCCTTCACATCTACGAAGTTGAATTCTCTTCGATTATTTTATTATCGTCAATCGATAAGGAAATTGTGAGAATATAAGTTTTGATTGGGCAGCCTTAAAACTAGATCTATGTTAAGCTCCGATCCCAATAGTAGTTTTGCTTTACGATACGATATGTAGTGATTAAAAATAAATAAAATTCTATAATATGAAGTCAACCCTTAATTATTTTCGGGATGGCATTTATTCATTCCAGCTGTATTCTTAAATCAAGTTTGACTCGAAAGTGATTTTGACTTCAATTTATATGCAACTTATGTATATTTATTTGAAATAAACAAAATATTATATATGGATTCATCAGTGAAATTAAAACTTCGGGTTCGATGGAACCTACCTTCATAATTTATTTCATGCAGACTACCAATATATTGAAAACAAAAATTATAAAACTACCAGTAACTTGTTACAAGTTTACAACTTGATATATAAATGAAGTGCGACGATGGAGTGCCTATTTGATCGAAATACTGAGTTTTCATAGGAGAAGTGATTATAGATTCGTTTGAGATGTGACGAGCTTAAAGATGTTGGCTTCGATACTTCCATAAGCAAGAATTTGGGAACAGTAATCAATAGACCGATATACTTATGAATATGTTGCTCTTATTTTTAATCATCGAGATTCAAACGATTAGAATAAGACAGAAAACCATCAATAATCTGATTAAACATATTCCATTTTATCATGATAATTAGGCAAATTAATATTATGACTTGATGAAAAAACGTTGGTTTGATGACATTGGTGGGAACCAAATACCACACCAAATTCTGAACTCTCATTTACAGTTAATACTCTAAGGACCAAAAGCCGCCCATAAACAAAACATGGAAAACAGTCCTAACCATTGCTTAAACCAGCTTAAACCGATAAATTGAACCGGGATCTGATCCGTTTGAGAGTCAAATAATACGATGTAGAAAGCCTAACCAGCTTAAACCGATAAACTGAACCGGGATCTGATCCGTTTGAGAGTCAAATAATACGATGTAGAAAGCCTAGACACTCTGCTGCTGCTTTGACCGAAAGATATTGTAAATAGTTCCGACAAATCTGATTTAGTTTGGGCTTTTGCGCCTCTCCTTATGGGCCTTACCTTATTTTTCTCGTAGTCTGACTAATCTATTGAGTTTGACTATTAGAGAGAGCTACTTTTATTTTCCTTGCAGCGACTAATAAATATTTAATTTCATATAGTTCAGACAAATATGTAAAAAAATTCAATCGTTCTTATTCTTAACAAAATTTAGTTGAAAAATAAAAAAATTACAAAAAGCTACAAGATTACTCAAATTAAAATATAGCATTATTATTTGAACGATATTACCACTGATTATACTGTATTTCCTAAAAAGATGGTAATAATAAGATTTTTTTTGGAGTGTGAATTTCTAGATTTATCAACCAATAGAATGATGTTTCATATTTGATATCTATTAAAAAAAGAAACAAAATCTTATTAAATTATATTATATTTTTGAAAAAATGAATAAAAATAAGGGGAATTAGGCCCACTAACCATTAGAAACAAAAAAAAAAAGAAAATAACCATAGCAAGACTTTGGTTATGATATGATTGATTTTTTTCTCTTTATTCCCCATTTTATCCTCAGCGTGCGCGTGAAAACAAATTGTAGCTTTCATTTTCTAAACTGTTGTTGTAATACATTATATTGGGTTACAAACTGGAAAAAGACAACATAGATTGAGGAGGCGTCAAAACTTCGGTGATGGAAGGAAGCGGAAATCTGAGTTATATTTTTCAACCATGAAAAGAATAGTTTAAACTGTAATTGTAATACATTATATCTGGCCACAATCCAATTTTTTATGGAGAACTAATTGAAGTATTTTACGGTGGGGCTGGGCACAAGAGTGAAGGATGAAGAAGATGAAGTATAAACCTATACTATATGAGAAAAATTAATAGTATAGTAACCGTATACCGATTCCTCTCATTCTCCCACTCCCTCTCCCTCTCCCGCTCCCCCTGCCCCTCTCCCTCTCCCTCTCCCTCTCCCACTCCCCCTGCCCCTCTCCCACTCTCCCCCTCACTCAACCCCTCCCCCTCCCCCTCTCCCTGTTTCCCTCCCCCTCCTCCTCTCCTCCTCCCTCTCCCGATGTCCCTCTCCCTCTCCCTCTCCCTGAGGGAGAGGGAGAGGGAGAGGGAGAGTATGTCCCTGTCCATGTATCCCTCCCTCTCCCTCTATATTTTACCTACCAACAATCAACACAGTTTTTACCTATTAACAACGAACACAGTTTCATACCTGATAGACCCTATGCTTGATTGTTCTTTTGTAAACGGAATGTAATTTTGTAGGTGATTTGTGAGGTAAGATGTTATATTTTCTATACTACTACTTGTATACAACAGTATAGTATGTAAATTCACTTCAGAAATGTTTCACTCTCCTCATTTTGTATTTCGTGCATGTTTATATGTTTCCTCTCAAAGCACCTGAATATTTAGATTTATATATCTAGTCACCTCTCAACATAGTGTATCCCTTTTGGATGTTAGTCTCGATGGTTGCTTTGTGTGTTAATGTATGCCCTATACTGTCCAATATATACTATAGTATAGTATATAACCTATACATACATTCACCTGCTATTGTATACTTCTGTCATTTCCAGTATGTTCATCATATTGTATATTGGTTTCATTTGCAAACAACCAACATCCTTTTCATTCTCCTCCACCACATGACTTCGTTATAGTTTTACTATACTTTCGTGAAGTAAGATGTTATATTTTCTGAAGTAAGATATTATATTTTCTATACTAGTACTTGTATACAATAGTATAGTATGTAAATTCACTTTAGACATGTGTCACTCTTCTCATTTTGTATTTAGTTCATGTATATATGTTTCCTCTCAAAGCACCTGAATATTTAGCTTTATATATCTAGTCACCTTTCAACATAGTGTACCCCTTTTGGATGTTAGTCGTAATGGTTGCTTTGTCTGTTAGTGTATGCCCTATACTATCCAATAGATACTATAGTATAGTATATAACCTAGACGTATATGCCACCTGCTATTGTATACCCTCCTCCTCTCCCCCACCCTCAACCCCTCCTATTATATACCCTCCTCCTCTCCCCCACCCTCAACCCCTCCCCCTCTCCCCGTTCCCCTCCCCCTCCTTCTCTCCCTCTCCCCGTTCCCCTCCCCCTGTCCCTCTCCATCTCCCTTAGGGAGAGGGAGAGGGAGAGGGAGAGGGAGAGGGAGAGGGAGAGCCTCTCTATGTCCCTGTCCAAGTCCCTATCCATGTCTCCCTCCTTCTCTCTCTCCTTCTATATTTTACCTACCAACAATCAACACAATTTTACCTATCAACAACGAACACAGTTTCATATCTGATAGACTCTATGCTTGATTGTTCTTTTGTAAATAGAATGTAATTTTGTAGGTGATTTGTGAGGTAAGATGTTATATTTTCTATACTAGTACTTGTATACAATAGTATAGTATGTAAATTCACTTTATAAATGTGTCACTCTTCTCATTTTGTATTTCATGCATGTTTATATATTTCCTCTCAAAACACGTGAATATTTACCTTCATATATATAGTCGCATTTCAACATAGTGTACCCTTTTTGGATGTTAATCTTGAAGGTTGTTTTGTGTGTTATTGTATTCCCTATACTATCCAATATATACTATAGTATAATATATAATATATAATATATATATATATATATATATAGGGTTAATAGTTTGGATTCATGGTTTATGGTTTGTTTTCACTGACTATACTATAGCATATGCATCATAGTATATTGTCTCGCATTGCTCACTCGCCTCTTTCAATCGCGTAGGCGTGTGCAAGGCGAAAATCGTCCAACAACGGCGTTAATTGTCACATCACGTTCCTTATGGTTATATCTTTAATTTTGAATTTTGCTATAGTTATTTGACAAATTGCCCCTAAAAATAATAATATTTACAAAAAAAACAAAAAAAAATTCTTTAAAGAAACTTCTTCTAGTTAGTAGCGATGAATTTAAATGAGAGGATCCAAAATTTTGTAACATTATATTATTTTTAAAAAATAATAAGATAAAAATAAATAAAAACACAGTATAATTGGTTAGTATTAATTTTTTTGATTTAATATTAAATATTTTTTTAAGGGTTTATGATTTACCTAAGGGTTTAGGGTATAGGATTAGGATTTAGGGTTTAGTGTTTTAGTGTTAAAATATTTTTTCGTTTTGTGTAGATATTATTACTTTTTATTTATTTTGTACTTTTTATTTTAAAAACATAATATAACTTAACAAGATTTTATTTATTTTTTAAAAAAGATATCAAATATGAAATAACACTATTCTATTAGTCGATGGATCTAGATGAACCCAATAATAACTGTAACAATATTTGAATACTTAGATTTAGTCATAACGTTAATTTTAAGACTTGACAAAATAGAAGGATACATTTCTGAGCTAATTCAACTAATAAGGATATAAATCACCAAACGGACCTTGTAGTCTTAGAAAATCCCTAGAAAAATCAAATCTTTCTGGTTTTTAAGCAAAATACACAACTCTTTTAGGATAGAAACATCATTATAAAAAAACCAGACCACTAATTTGTAATTTAGTCACTAATGCTTATATAGTCATCATTATTATCCCAAATCTATAGAAAACTAACAAGAGAAAAAGAAACGTAAAATCTTCTACATTTTACATCTCTAACTCCGCCTCTTTGTGTACGCGTATTTCGTAAGGTCGATATTGTTCCAATCTTTTAACAATGGTACAAGAAAAAACAAGTAGAAGAAGCTTTGGATTCATTAAGTCGTTTATGAGACTGATTACGTGCTTCGACGCGACGGCTGATGGCGATAAACGAGAAAGATCTAAGACAATTTCACGGAGGAGCAACTTGGTTCACTCCATAAAATCGACGCCTCCTAATGCTTTCCTTAGCGGTCCGATGGTAGACGAAGAAAGGGATGAGAAAATTAAAGATGTTATCCTCTATTGTAAGATGAATTCCCCACTTAATTTACCATGAATTTTACCGCAGTTCCTTTTATTTATTTATTTAATTATTTAGTTTTTCTTTTTACATGCCCATTTACTCATAATGAGATTGTAGATTACTGATAAATTCTTATAAGCTGTGATTCATTTTCACCAAAAATAAAATCCGCCTATATAGTCATTTACGTCCTTTATGTATGTTAGGCATGGTCCATGGATCAAGCAAAAAAAAAGAATATAAACTATAATTAAAGAATAAAACCCGTCTATAGTCATTTAAATCCTTTACATGTATTTAGCTTTTTTTTTTGTCAAACCTTACTTGCATAACTTAAAAGAGTCAAGTTGAGAAACAAAAAAAGAGTCATTACCCTGAGGGTAAGCTTGAGAGTTTACAAAGAACTGATTTAGCTAGGCTATCAGCCTCGACATTACAAGAACGAGAAATATAGAAAAAAAGATAGCTTCAAAGGCAGAACTCAACACTTTGATATCGTGAAGGATACCTTGAAGAGTAATGAGAAACACTCCGTCTCTAATGCCGACAGTAGCTGCATCGGATAGGCAGCCTTCATTGCGAGAGCCTCAGCCATAAACGGTGAGATCACATAAATTTAGCTAAATATGTCCACAGACTCCACACTCGGATGCCGGGGTTAAACTTCTGAATTTCTATATGGTTTAGTAAAACAATATGTATTAACCAAGGTCCAAAGTAAAATCATATCGTTTGTGAATAATTGGTTTATACGCTTTCAGGTTTAGTTAAAATTCTTTCTTTTTTTCTCAAAAAAAAACTCTCTTTTTATTGTAAAAGAATTCATTCTAACAAACAAAAATATTTATTTCTAACCAGCTAAAATATCTTTTCTTTTTGCTTCAGTCGGGGAACTATAATTTATTTGAATTGAACACTCATGATTGTAGCTAACATTGAAGAAAATAACAATCACAGTACACACAAAATAACTTTGATGTAACGGGTTGTTTATAGTTTTAAAGTCAACATTACTATGAGTGGTTCATGCTATATCGAATTAGAGTATTTTTTGCAACTATTTAATATCTTATGGTGTATATAAACTATATAGTAAAGTATTGTTATCTGTTATTTACTATAATATATTTCGATGAACCGCGTAAGACCTTTAAGGTTATACGCGTTCATATCCAAAACTATTGAGGTAACATATCTATTGATAACTATTGTTCAGTGAAAGTTAGATCTCAGTACCTAGTTTAGAAAAGAATAATAATTTTTAACAGAGAAAACATAAGAACTTTCGAAGACTCTAAAGATTTTTGCAAGTCCAATCACTTTCCACTTTCCAGCGATAAGTATATAGATTGACCTTGTCATCAAGAGATTCTAGTTTGACCAAAATCAAACTCAAAATTAAACACAAAACACTTGTCCTCCCTTCCTTTGTCTGTTACCGCGTCTAGCACCAAAATATGTTATTTTTATTACAATAATAATGGCTTATTTCAAGTTGTTTTGTATGTGTTCAGCTCTATGAAAATAAGCAATTTCCTTTTTAAAAAGGTTACTGGAATATAACCAAAAACAAAATCACTAATGCTACCTAATTTTGTCATATTCAGAGCAAACCGACACACCCCTTTCGTTTTGTTAACCGTAAACTAATCTAAACCGTCCCAAACCAAAAACCGAAAGTATACCCAGGGTTATCTTAATTTATACTGGTTAATCTTATATGGTTAGGATTGAACACGTGAGTTATATTATAACTTTGTAACCTTCAGAGATTACCGAATCTAAGCAGTTTTATCGAAGAAACAAAGTTTCATGTGTTGTAATTGTATTGATATAATTACAGAAGAAGGATTAGTCTACTTAGTACCTACACCCAAAAAGTATACCTAAACCTTCTCAGAAGAGTGCATTGTCTATTATATATGGGTTATCACTTATGACTTGTGTTGATGATTTTTTTTGAACTAACCCTTTATAATGAAAAATATAGAAGCAAATCCATTTTCTTAAGTTTGAACTAAACGACTTGGCAATATTAATCGTGTGCATCAATCCTAAAATAAGCATACATACAATCTGTTAACAAAGAATTCGCGAATTTAGAAGCTAATTTTTCTAATATCAGCCTTGTATATTTTTTGGTTTGACCAGACATATAATATACTAATTTTTATCGATAAATGAAATTAGTTAAAACAGGACTTAACGCATTTTTTAAAGGTTTCTCAAAAAAAAATCTAAAACATTTTATCCCCTTTTGGGGTCCTAAGACTCATACATGCGTCTTTCTAAAAAAAGTCATGTGATTATCAGTCTAACACAAATACATATCTTGTTTTAGCATCTTGACAAGCTTCAAGACTTGTGGCAGAAATTGGAGAAAGCGCCCATATAATCTTTAGTGATGTTTTCTTTTTGGTAATTTTTTTTAGTGATGTTTGAGTTAGCATTTAGCAAAATATAATTGTTATAGAATGATACATTTTCTAAATACTATAATTGCTAGTAAAACCATCTACCTGTTTGTGAAATTTACTTTTCTTTACAAAGAGCCAACTAGGAACACAACTTTATATATATTTGTATGATAGATATTTCTATATCTCAACATTCATTTTTAAGATTTTGAAAGCATATTATTGATTATATAATTTTGGATAAGACCACTTCTAATTTTCTGTACTGAATAAATATATTTTGACAAAGGGAAAATTTGTATTGATTATGGTCCACGGCAGCAGGGTCATGCCTAGATAAGCAGAACCGTGTAAAAGACCTGTACAAACTAATGCTAAGTCAGCAACAAACTGTCCGATGTGGCACTCATGACCTCGTCTTGCTTTTGACTTCCTCAAGACTGGACACATTCAAACCCCCTTATTATTGTTATTTTTTCATTAAAGTTGTAAGGAAAAGAAACACACAAGTAATACTAATCCATTTTGATATGAAGTAATTTCTTCTATACTTTTTTTTGAAAAAGGGCTTTCTGTAATTTCTTCTATACTTGATTTATACTATAAGATATTTTAAGAACATCAACGTGAACACCACCTAACGAGTATATATAATTGATCAAAACAATTTAATTAGCAGTAAACGTGTATGAAGAGAAACAACTAATTCTTGAAGTCATCAAATGAAAAGTTAGTCTCTTCTAACGACTGGAAAACATTTTAACCAAACCTCATCTTGGTAAGAAATAGACATGACCAATTTAAAATACAATAATAGTAGAAACTTTTGGCTTTCTTCATTTGACTTTTCTCTTCTCCCTCTTTTATACACAAGTGACAAATCATATATATATACAGACATTCATGTACCTTCCCGGTTTCCTAATCATCACATAATCATTTTTCTTCACAAAAATCCTCATACACTCTTATACACATATCTCTCTCGTTCTATATACATATATTATCTTCTCATAAGTAGACTATATGGATAATAGATCGCCAAAATCAAGAGAAATCTTGGGCCCGAGACCACCTCCATTAAAAATTCGTAAAGAGTCTCACAAGATCATCAAGAAGCCACCCTTGGTGCCACAGCTACGACAACAACCACCGGAACCGGCACCACCCCAACTACACCAGCAAGAACCTCCACGTGATCCGGTGATCATATACACCGTATCTCCCAAGATTATCCATACACACCCTAATAATTTCATGGCACTGGTTCAGCGTCTCACAGGGAAAACCTCTACCTCTTCAACCTCATCCTCATCTTCTCAATCCATATTGAATTCAAACAACATGTCAGCAACGTTAGATACATCCCATGGTTCGTTATCTCCGGCGGCTCGGTATGCAGTGATGGAGAAAGCTAATGCCTCGAACGAAGTAGGGTTTGTAGCTGATGTAGAGACCACTGATCAGTATTATCAACATCATCATCATCAAAACCGAGCTATGGGCATGCCTAGTTTTTACAATGCTGGGATTTTATCTCCGGGCCCCACTTCTCTGCCGTTGATATCGCAGGAGTCCTTTTCTACTGTTGCACCACCGAACGATCCACAAGGTTTGTCGGCGTTGTTTAATGATTTTAACTCTATCCTACAAACTAGTCCTCCAAAGATTCCATCTCCTTCCATGGACCATTTCAACAATTTTTTTGATTCTTGATTGGGATCTTATATTCCAAGTTTGAACTGGTTTACAAGTATTTTAGAGGGTGACACGTGACGTATGTTTCACGTTTTTTTTTCATCATATTTGTAAGAGACTCTCACAGAAGTAGAGGGTTTCTACTTTTGCATGTTTTGATGATGACGTCATTTGTTAAAATCATATTGGCAACTTGATGATGTGTATTCGTGTTTGGTGGGCGTTTCATAAATTTAAACTCTTATCTCTGATGACTCTATTCTTAGCTGCGATGTGCTCATTGGCTAAAATTCAATTGGATGCATATATTAATTTACTGTTTGTCTAATAAACCTAACGTGTGCTGGTAAATTGGATGTCGTTGGTTTACATGACATATCGTGAGATTTGAATACCAAATATAGGTCGATTAAGACTAAAAGTATTTTCACATGTGTAATTGACTTCTTAGCCAAAAGAAAAGAATAACAATATATAAAAGAAAGTGAAGTTCTTGAGTGCAAAGTAGTGACATGGTGATAGCAATGGGTAAAAACATGCGGGGTAAATCGGTAAATAAATATGTCTTAGTTGAATTATCTACCATTAGGTTAACATTTTCCCAACCGGCATGATATCTTATGACACTCGTCGCACGTTGTATTTATTTCTCTTACACCATATTCAAATTCGCCAACCATCATGCCTCTGTTTGATGTTGGATACTAATTAAGATGTTCGTTGAGTGCATTTTCTTTAAAACTACTATACTGAGATCAATGATTCCAAACCTTTCTCTTATGGAAAATGTAGAATAATACGCTTCACAATCAGTCTATCTAAAACCAAAGTTATAATCCACATAAAAGCTAACTTTTACGTGGGGAAACCAATGATAATTTATATAGATTTGTTATATTTGTGTGGTGGCTGATGTGGGATGTTGTAACAGAGAGCCATTTGGTTAGAATTACACGGCATAATAAACTTCTCTGCTACATCGTTGATCTTGGATTTAACGTAATGAGAAAACAGTTTATTGAAGTCCATTCCAGAGTATATATGCATACCTCTGCTCGCAACTTAATAGTTTTTTGATTCAAGACTTCAATGGTCTGACTCATATTGACTGTTATACTTGTGGAGAAAAGGGTGCTGTGAACCATCTCCTTTTACATTTTAAAAACACAAGAAAGGTGCCTCTAAATATAAAAGTAGGAAACATATCTTTATTACCTCAACAAATCCCACTAAATAAATATTCTACTACTTAATCGTCTAGAAAAAAAATCATACTAAATTATCTAGTAAAATCTTCTGAGTTAATCAACTTGTTCACACGTTCCATTTGACACTTTAACGAGTTGTGACTATGTAAACTCCATTTTGCAAAAACAAAATCATTGTTCTTGTACTTCTCCAACTACAAAAAGATTTATAATGTCAATCAAAAAGACCAATCCGAAACAAAACAAGAAAACACAAAATAAGCTAGAATAAAACAAAAAAGTCATCTTTCAGACCATTTCACCCATTGAATTAACTTATAATCAAACCCAAAAATGAAAAAAGAAAATACGATTTCTTAGTCACTTGTGCTGCTTAGTTACAATCTTAAGGCAGTGCAGTTTCTAGACATGCGCAAGAGGAACATTTTCAGTAGGTCCAAAAATTCTGCAAAATTTCTAATAGCATTTAGAGGTATTTTTTTTTCCAGAAAATTAAAGATATTTTTGTAAAATTAGTTTTACTTGTTCCCCCACAAAACTAAATTTTGGAAGGATCTCAAAAATAATGAGACGGGCCTGTTTAAAAGACAGACCAAATTACTTTCCAAAAGAGAAGGAAGAAATAGTTACTGAAGTGGGCCATCAAGTAATAGGCCCGTTAACCTGGAACCAGAATAAACCGGGCTGTAAAATAACGGGTCGGGTTACCATCCAGTAACAACAAACTCGAAACTGAACACACAAGAAATCGAAATCGAAATTGAGACACGAAGAACACGGAGCAAGCAAGCTAGCGATCGAAACTTTTTTTTTCCTATTAAAATCGAAATTAGGGTTTACGATTGTTCCCCTCTCCGTCCATGTCAGATGGGTACTGGAACCAGCAGAGACACCATCAGCCTCCGTCGATCTCCCACGGTGGTCCTCTAAAACGTCCCCGTTCTGACTTCGGTAAATCTCTCATTTCTCCTCTGTCTCAAAAATTTCATGTAAATTGTTGAGCTGAAAATTGAACAGATGTGTCTTAAAGATTGCTTCTTTGCATTAAAAACAAAACCTTTTTCTCAGTTTTGATCCGTTTCTTAACAAGTTATGTTTCTATGCTTATGTGTGTTGCGGCCTTGTTTTTTTTATTCAGGCAATGATATGCACAGTTACGTGTCACGTGATGAGGATCGAAGTAACCCTCTTCATTCAGTTAAAGATACGAGAACAATTGGCTCAGCTTATGACCTCTACCTTCAGAGTGTGGTAATGATCCTTTTTACTCAGCTTTTGTCTCTTCTGTAGTTTGTGTGCTGAAGTTTCCTCCATGTTTTTGTAGCAAACGCCATCTGAAGAAGTTGGTAGGTTTAATGGAGTTGGCATGGGAAGACGAGGAGGTGACTTGGGTGAGCTCATGGCTGGGCGTGGTGGAATGCTGCCTCCAGATTTTGGACCAAATGGTCGAGGTTTGGGTTTTGGTCAACAGGATTTAGTTGGTAGGCCTAGCCGGGAGCTACTTCGTTTACCTCCGGATGCATCCAATACTCTGTTTGTTGAAGGACTTCCTTCTAATTGCTCAAGGAGAGAAGTATCTCGTATCCTTCTTTTTTTTGTGATTCGTTTCAAAAGTTCTTACATTAGTATTTATATCGTTTCTTGAGATTGTTTGAGATATTCAGTGTTCTTAACTATATGTCTTAGATATATTTAGGCCCTTTTTGGGATATAGAGAAGTGAGACTTGTAACCAAAGATTCAAAACAAGTAAGATTCTTTGGTTCTAACTTGAAGCTTTGTTGAAACCAAAGTTTCATTAGTTTTGACTTAGTAAAGGGTTTTTTGATGCAGAGGAATGGAGATCCTATTGTTCTTTGTTTTGTTGATTTTGAGAATCCTGCATGTGCAGCCACTGCTCGTACAGCTCTACAAGGTAACTAAGATTCTCTCTGCTCTTGAACTTCAGATTGTTTTGGTCTCAACACTTGATGATTTTCATGTTTCATCGTTCCTTGTTATATACTATCTACATCAACATGTTGCGGTTTCCTGAAGAAAAACACTCGGCCTTGGACTTAACTGATGTTTTTCTATGAATTTGACAGGCTATAGAATGGATGAAAATGAACCAGATTCCAAGATTTTGCAAATCCAGTTTTCAAGAAACCCAGGTCCAAGACCAGGACAACGTGGAGGAAGGAGGTGATGAGTCAGTGTCCGTAGGAGTAAAAACTCTTTATCCATATCTCTCTCACTCAAAGCAATAGATATGTGTGGATAGACACAAAGAGTCCAGGAGATGAGTTGATTGTAATCTAGAGTCTCTCACGCTCTTTTTTCCCACCGCCTTGATAGATTTAGTGCATCATCTTACTACTGCTATTTATCAAGCCTAAAAAACTTTGTTACAATCCTTTACTTTGTATGTGTGAGGAATGATAGCGATATATGATTTTGATAGTATCCTCAGGGATTGCACTTGTTGATTAGATAATTGGGACTGAATCCAAAACAGGGACTCATGATACAACATTATTTTGAGATTTTTTGTTGTAAGTCAAGTGCTTTTGAAGCTTTTTAATTTCAAGGTTATAGCTTTCTTTTCGATTGTTTGCTTGCTTTTAAGTTAATTTTTAGTGTATATTTATACTTTTCAAAAAGACTCCCAAATTTAGCTTTTTAGATAAAAAAAATTATTTGTTAATTTTTGAATAGTGTAAACTCAGCTAAATTACAAGTTTGGCATTTTCATTTCGAGTTAACAGGGAGAAATATTTCTAAAACAGGTGTTCCCTTTTATATTTTAGATATGTTAACATAAGTTTGTGATTTACTTTCACTACTGGTTCTGAACATCTCCAATGTAAAACACTGTTTTTCCTCCAAATTAGAATAAAAATATTCTAATCCCATTCCGTTTTTATTCTATAATAGAATGATAAATAAAAAAAATAGATTATTCTATTTATGTAGTAAAATTTATTATGGGATAGAAAGTATAATAGTATTAGAGTGTTTCTATTTCATATTCTTTTTTATTTTAGAGTAAAAATGGAGTCGGATTAGAGATGCTCTAACTTGGTTTCGTAAATGTTATTTTTAAAAGAACTAAAAACCATGATTGGTTTTACTTTTGAAGCATTTTTTTTTCTTTTGGTAAAAGAAATGCATGATCTTATAGGGCTTTTCGTCGTTTTTGTTTCCTCGTAACAAAATAATTGTTATTTCATAGTTAGAACTTTATATCTTGGATGTTAAAGGTTCTTTTTTTTTTTTGCCAACATTCGGATGTTAAAGGTTCTAATAAATAAACAATAGCAAAATAAGAAATTGCATAACCATATAAAAAAAAATCAGTGACATTACCATATTATTTGGTTGACCAAAACAGTCAATACCGATGGCATCGACGATGGACTATGAATAGAGAAAAAGAGGTGAGAGTAAGAGTATATTCGATTCTCGAAGAGCAGATGCTTTTTGATGTAGATAAATATTTGG